ACAAACGACATTGACACATTTATATTTGTACAGATACCAAATTTCCAAAAAAAGGAATGGCGTTTTGTTATTTCATTTCATACTGAAAGGAAGGTCAAAAAAAAATTCATCACTATCTTCTAATGTCGGACTGTTTGTTTTACACTTCGGATGGCTACCGTATGCTTTTAATGCGTGTGTATGCTAGATTTGTTGAGACAGCAGTCTGTCAATCTTCCACAAGGGACTGTGATAAACATTCTGTGTGTTTTTCGTTGGCACAGGAGCGGAGCAACTATGGGGTGACCCGTTTGCTATGAAGCTGAAACTAAGATTACCAGATTACCAGTACCATACTGGTACGAAAGTACCAACTTCGGCAGCCCTGACCGGAAGTTTATACCAGTTACTGTTCCTAACGACCAGCAACAATGGCGAGACTGGTAAGTGTATTTCGTGAGACTTTCAATAAAAATTTACAATCAAGCAACATCTTAAGTTACAAGATTCAAAAGTGCTTAGCGGGATAATTATCTCAAGCGGAAACAATTCTCGTAAACTGTAACATCCACTGGCTGAAACTGTACGTTGTGTCACATGATAATCTTGTCTGACATTTGGAAGCCGGTTGATAATTTCTAGAACGTTCTGTATTTGTTCCCCCCATTCGGCAGTACACGCTCTGGAGTTGGATATAGTGTTTTAGGGGCCGTCAATCAACAACCAGACTAATCTCTTTGGGGTTGCTGACAAGATAGTCTTCTTTAAAACCTGTAACAGATCATGTTTGTGCTAATGTAAATGAATCCATATAAAGTGTAACCAATGAAAAGGTTGACTCGAGTCCACTCGAGGATCAGTAGTCCAAATTCCGGCTATCCTCCGAACTACGGGCACAAAAGATGGCGGCCGCAAAATATTCTTACGAGCCTCAGTCACGTGTCATGTGTTGTCAAAACTAACAAGGAGCGAAAAAAAATGTTATATCAAATCGACTACTTACCGATAATTTTATGCCTTTATATCTGGAAATTATGGCACAGAAGTTGTAGATAGTGCCCGAAAATCTGCTGTTTGTGGCTGTTACGTCATTGAAACTCGGCTAAGTACGATCTGAAAAAAAATTGCTGACTTACTTCCGACGAACACTCAGTCGAGAGCCTCCCACACAAGCAAATAAAAGTGAGGACGCTGCAGGAGATGCGGTAGCTGCTGCTCGTGGGTCCCAGCCATCTAGTTTACTCACTGACTGTTTAGTCCGCGCGTAGCCGCGCGGGAGACTTTCGGCAGCGAGTTTTAACTCGGCGGTTTGTTTTGTTTCTTGAAAATTGTCAACAGGCACTAATCATAGTTTTCCCGCGATGTGAGGATATTTTGCGGCAGCCATCTTTTGTTTTGTGCCCGTAGTTCGGAGGATAGCCCAATTTCCTAATACTTTAGGCAACATGTCATAACGTGGTAAAGGCGGCAACGTTTTTTAAAATTGTTATAGTTATAACAGGAGTGTAATATATAATTATAATAATTTTATAATTGTTATGCCAGTGTGTTGAACATTCTGTTAACTTCTCATAACAACAATGGGCTATCCTCTGAATAATGGCACATTTTATGGCGGCCGCAAAAAACCCTAACAGAGCCTCAGCCATGTGTCAATTGCGTATTTTCGACGACTTAATTTTCGAACTTCCGGCGACTAACACCGCCGCTAAGAGCTTACGCGGCGTGGATTGCTAAACTAGATGGCTGGGACTCTGCAGCTTTGCTTTCCCAGTCAACGCCGCGCGTAGCATAGCGGCGAGTGAGGTATATTTTCGGCCTCTATAATTTTGGACAGTTATTCAGAAGATAGCCAAAAACTTTATAATCATCTACTTGTTTTGCAGTTTTTCTTGGCCCATAAGGCTGTTTGGACTGGCCATTGAAATCTGGCGCGTCTTATCTGTGAAGAGTTTCCTCAAGCTGAGCCTGATTGGCCTGCCGGTCCATTGGTAGTCCTTCTTAGTTGTTTATCTGGACACGTGTTGCTGCAGTGACTATCTTGACTACAAGTCTTGACAGGCAGGCAGTTTTGCCTGGTATGTTGATATATAGTATACAGTTTTTAACCGGTGATCCATGGTGAGTGGTGTATCTATTTTTGCGTAATGGAGGAAATCTCCTTTATTGGGTTGCGGTTGCCCCCCCCCCCCCCATTTCACTTCTGCTTTGGAGATCTTATAAACATCTAGGGTTTCATCTCCATGCATTTCTTTCAATGGGTCATTGACCCCTTCTCTATTCATTATTACTGGCACCCAGCTGAGGACCAGCTGGGTTTTTTTCCTTCCCAAGACGATGAATTTGAAGTTACTTTATCTCCTGGGGCCGACAAAATCTTCCTGACCACAGAATCTCTTCGTCTTTTGTGCTTGGGCTCAGATAAGTTGATTTAAAACCTCAAGGGTGACTCAATGTATGTAAATGTATTTTATGCTGCCTTCCGGTACTCAGCTCGGGCCCAGCAATATCTTTAACTGGCCTGTCAGTAAGCTCTGGTACTCCAGCAGTGTCATCACTACAGCACTGGGTCTGTGCGGGTGGCGCTACGACATGTAGTAGTGTACCAACTTGCTGTTATTTTCAGAAGTTAGTATATGAGCCATTTTAATAGGTATTTGAGCAACAGTGAAACTTCCAAATTTGAAATGTTTAATTCACTTTAAAATATGATGAATTGTGAAGTTTTGCAGAAATAATACATAATAAATACGCTTGAAATATTACATAATAAATAGGCAATGTCCAAAACACACTGGTATAATATTTTGGCTATCTCCCAAATAACGGTCCCAAATCGTCGTGACCGAAAATATACCATAACAGGGTCTCAGTCACGTGTCAGTTGTTTACTTCTGCGCGGCGTAGATTGGGGCTGAACTAGATGGCTAGGACTCACGAGCAAAAAAAAATGAAGGAAGCTGCAGGAGATGCGGTAGCTGCTGCTTGTGATTCCCAGCCATCTAGTTTAGCCCCAATCCACGCCGTGCGCAGCAGCGTGGGAGATAGATAACTCTTGGCTGTGGCGGTAGTCGCCAGGAATGCGCAGTTCAAATCGCCAGAAGTCCCCAGTTGACATGTGACTGAGGCCCTGTTAGGGTATATTTTCGGCGTCGATAATTTGGGGCCGTTATTCAGAAGATAGTCGAGTTTTGAAATGCCCCTTAAAGATGAAAGGACAGTAAAAACTCAGGAAAGTTTTAACTTTGATAAGATGACACACATAACATCATGCCACTAAAATAACCACCATAAACCACACTGCCAATGCTAATGGCACTGAGAGCGGTCACGTCTGCTGCACTCAGTGTGAGGATAAACCTCCAACTACAGATATATCTTTGGCTAATAAATAACTTGTCACAAAAGTCAATGAAAGTGAAGGTGACATTAGAATGACCTAGGATGATGATGATAAAGAGACTAGAGTGGGTCTGAAACAATATCTGGCTCCACAATTTCATCCTCGGGGAATCTACTTTCTTCCTGGAAACAAAGAATCAACTAACTAAAAGGGGAAACTTCAGACAGATTTAAAACAGCATTAAAAAAACTACGTTTATAAATTATATTATTCACAATACTATGTATATAATTATTTATTTAATTATATGTTTTTTTACACACATTTTTAAAATAATAATTTTACTCTTTGAAAAATGGAAGGGGATATAAGCATTTAAGTGTTAATATATATATGGTTTAAGAGCAAAGTAACAATCGATCAAACATCTTATGCACAAGCAAGATTTTTCTGTTGATACAAGAAACGAATATTGCTTCAGATGGGCTAGCAGCTAACACAGTATCACAGTTAGGTCTATAAAACTTTTTTTAAGGCCATGTGCTGGTGTTCACACGAGTAAATTTGGGTCAGTTTTTACATCTCTTAGTATGTTTTTTTCAGATTCAGTGATTGTTTTTGTCTAAAATATGTTTTTTTTGGTGCAACATTAATATTTTACTGAGCTAACCCTAGCTGTGAAATTTTTTGTTTATTGAAATTTATTACGAATTTGGCAATTGTTTGGGGTAATTATCAATGCTATTTGCACGAGGAGATAACTGTAAGTATTATATGCGGTTGTAACCGTAATTTGTTCATATTAGGATTGAAGACACATCTGTTATATGAGCAGACTGATGTATTGAAGACATCAATTGTGTACCAGAAACCAATGCATTAGGACTGAATAAACATTAAGCTGGCAAAATTTAAGAAAGGCAACAAAGTCAGAAATGTCTAAACATCACCTGGTAACAGGTTGTAAGCCTTAGAAGATAGCTTTGTTATTAGCACATCCTGATTGGACAAGGAATCAGCAAACTGAAAAGAGAAGCAAATGGATTGAGGAAATGAGGAAGTTCAAGAGATACCCTTTGAAGATTGTTGATGAGAGACCAAAAATGTCTGGCTGGATTCTTTTAATTCACCCTAACAGTGATCTTTTTCGGATAAGGCTATATGCCCACAGAAGCTATGGTGTGACACACATCCTTCAGATTTGTATAGTTAGGTCTGCACAGGAATGCTGACTGTTTAGTATGTTTGTGCACATGTTATGTTTGGTATTCTGTGGCCACTCACAGGTGAGCAGAGTTCAAAGTCCCGATCTGAAAGTTCCTGCACATAGGGCTGTGGCGTCTGTTGTGCCCACTTGAAAATCTGAATAGATGCCTTCGTTGCTGTGTGGGATTTGAACCCCTCCTTGATATTGAAAAGAGTGTACATAATACATTGGATTGGAGGAAAAGACTGCAAGCTCTGTGTGGCACATAAGGCAGATAACATGGTAATATAGTGTGATGGCAGTAGGTGACTTGTCATTGCCACTGAGATTGCCTGTTTTCTACAGAATGCTCCAATTATTCTGCTGAAAGAAGGCACTGACAGCTCACAGGGCAAGCCTCAGATTCTCAGCAACATCAACGCCAGTCAGACAATCGCTGATGCTGTCCGCACCACTCTGGGCCCTAGGGGCATGGACAAGCTCATTGTTGATAACAAAGGTAGGGCACTTTGATAATGTTACTGTGTATTCCAGTTTGTTGAGTTTGCTGTATTCCAGAGGTTATTGCTGGCACTGTTATAACTTTGCTGTATTCCAAGGGTTATTGTTGGCACTATGCTAACTTTACTATATTTTGGTTTTTGATGGCACTATAACTTTGCTTTTTTCCATAGCTTATGGTTGAGAGTATAACTTTGCTATTTATGTAGCCTACATATAGTAACAGATTGAGATGGCCATGTAGTATGGCCTACATACAATAACCGATTAAAATGCCCATAAAGTGTAGTCTACATACATATAACAGACTGAGATGTACACATAGTCTAGCCTGCATGCAGTAATATATCGATGTGTCCGCGTAGTGTAGCTTACATGCAATAACAGATTGAGATGTCCATGTAATGTAGCCTACATTCAATAACAGATTGAGATATACATCTATACATTTGTGGCTAGCTGAGATGTCTTGTTACCATTTCTGGATAGTAAAAGTCACTGGCTTTGTGTAAGCATTGAAGCTAATGGGCCTGCTTGGTCTTGCAGGTCATGTGATCATTTCCAACGATGGAGCAACAATATTAAAGACCCTGGATGTGGTGCATCCTGCTGCCAGGACTCTGGTAGACATTGCCAAGTCCCAGGATTCTGAGGTTAGTCTCTTTATAAGTATTGCTTTATATCACTGCAAGTGTGATGAGTCACTGCAAGTGTGATGTGTCACTGCAAGTGTGATGTGTCACTGCAAGTGTGATGTCACTGCAGGTGTGATGTGTCACTGCAGGTGTGATGTGTCACTGCAGGTGTGATGTGTCAACTGCAGGTGTGATGTGTCACTGCAGGTGTGATGTGTCACTGCAGGTGTGATGTGTCACAGCAGGTGTGGAGACATGATACCTGTGCATGCATTTTTTAAAAATGGGTGTGGTTTTTAAAAATTAAAAATATAGTGAGATCTGTGTGTTGTAGTGAAGAGAGACTGACGTTGTTGTAACACTGGGTTGTGTGTTATAGTGAAGAGAGACTGACAGTAGTGTAACACTGGGTTGTGTGTTATTGTGAAGAGAGACTGACAGTAGTGTAACACTGCGTTGTGTGTTATAGTGAAGAGAGACTGACAGTGTTGTAACACTGTGTTGTGTGTTATATATAATGGGGAGACTGACAGTGTTGTAACACTGTGTTGAGTGTTATATATAATGGGGAGACTGACTGTGTTGTAACACTGCATTGTGTGTTATATATAATGGGGAGACTGACAGTGTTTTAACACTGCGTTGTGTGTTATATATAATGGGGAGACTGACAGTGTTGTAACACTGCGTTGTGTGTTATATATAATGGGGAGACTGACAGTGTTTTAACACTGCGTTGTGTGTTATATATAATGGGGAGACTGACAGTGTTGTAACACTGCGTTGTGTGTTATATATAATGGGGAGACTGACAGTGTTTTAACACTGTGTTGTGTGTTATATATAATTGGGAGACTGACTGTGTTGTAACACTGTGTTGTGTGTTATATATAATGGGGAGACTGACTGTGTTGTAACACTGCGTTGTGTGTTATATATAATTGGGAGACTGACAGTGTTTTAACACTGCGTTGTGTGTTATATATAATGGGGAGACTGACAGTGTTGTAACACTGCGTTGTGTTATATATAATGGGGAGACTGACAGTGTTGTAACACTGCGTTGTGTTATATATAATGGGGAGACTGACAGTGTTGTAACACTGCGTTGTGTTATATATAATGGGGAGACTGACTGTGGTGTAACACTGCGTTGTGTTATATATAATGGGGAGACTGACAGTGTTTTAACACTGCGTTGTGTGTTATATATAATGGGGAGACTGACAGTGTTTTAACACTGCGTTGTGTGTTATATATAATGGGGAGACTGATAGTGTTGTAACACTGTGTTGTGTGTTATATATAATGGGGAGACTGACAGTGTTGTAACACTGCGTTGACATGTCTAATTGTGTGTATTGGTTCTTCAGGTAGGGGATGGAACAACATCTGTGACTTTGATTACCGGAGAGCTGCTCAGACAGTTCAAACCATTCATTGAGGAGGGGGTACATCCACAGATTATTGTGAGAGCTGCACGTAAGGCCCATGCTTTGGTGAGTATAGCACAGTGTTTGTATGCATCATACATACACCTGGATTACAGTAAGGGTATGTCTGTATGTCATTCATACACAGTGTAGCACATGGTCTGATGTCATTCATACACCTGTAGTGTAGCACATGGTTTGATGTCATTCATACACCTGGAGTATAGCACATGGTGTGATGTCATTCATACACCTGAACTATAGCGCATGGCCTGATGTCATTCATAAACCTGGAGTATAACACATGGTCTGATGTCATTTATACACCTAGAGTGTAGCACATGGTCTGATGTCATTCATACGCCTGGAATAAAGGGAAGGGTATGTCATACATGCACCTGGAGTATAGCACATGGTATGTCTTTATGTCATTCATAGAGTGTAGCACATGGTCTGATGTCATTCATACACCTGGAGTATAGCACAGGGTATGTGAATGTCATTCACCTGGAGTATAGGGCATGTTCTGATGTCATACATTCACCTATAGTATAGCACATGGTCTGATGTCATTCATACACCTGGAGTATAGCACAGGGTATTTCATACACTCACACAGTATGTCAATACTAAAAGATTGTTACAGCATATGTTGTTTGTGTCATCTGAAAGGAAGTGTAACAACAGATGTTGTATGTGTCAACTGTAGTGAAGTGCTTCAACATTTGTTGTATTTGTCAACTGAAAGGAAGTGTTACAACATTTGTTGTATGTGTCAACTATAGTGAAGTGTTACAACAGATGTTGTATGTGTCAACTATAGTGAAGTGTTACAACAGATGTTGTATGTGTCAACTATAGTGAAGTGTTACAACAGATGTTGTAGGTTTCAAGCAAAGATGTGGGTTAAAAGTGAGTGCATCTGTCTTATAAGCTTGGGCTGCAGTTGAAATTATTTAATTGTTGATACAAAAATAATATGAATCAAAAATGTTCTCTTTCAGGCTTTAAAGAAGATAGATGACATAGCAGTTCGCATTAAAAAAGATGATCCCAAGTAAGTCATTTTTTAGAGTTTGAACTGAAACATAGTCTCATGGTATAGTATGAATGATCTAAAACATTCAGTGCTATGTAAGAGATCATGACATATTATGAATGATCTAAAACATTCAGTGCTATGTAAGAGATCATGACATATTATGAATGATCTAAAACATTCAGTGCTATGTAAGAGATCATGACATATTATGAATGATCTAAGACATTCAGTGCTATGTAAGAGATCATGACATATTATGAATGATCTAAGACATTTAGTGCCGTGTTAGAGATCATGACATATTATGAATGATCTAAAACATTCAGTGCTGTGTAAGAGACCATGACAAATTATGAATGATCTAAGACATTCAGTGCTGTGTAAGAGACCATGACATATTATGAATGATCTAAGACATTCAGTGCTATGTAAGAGATCATGACATATTATGAATGATCTAAGACATTCAGTGCTATGTAAGAGATCATGACATATTATGAATGATCTAAGACATTTGTGCTATGTAAGAGATCATGGCATATTATGAATGATCTAAGACATTTGTGCTATGTAAGAGATCATGACATATTATGAATGATCTAAAACATTCAGTGCTGTGTAAGAGATCATGACATATTATGAATGATCTAAGACATACAATGACATGTAAGAGATGGTATATTGTCAATGACATTCAGTGCCATGTAAGAGATCTTGATGTAGTATGAATGATCTAAGACATTCAGTGCTGTGTAAGAGATCATGACATGTTATGAATGATCTAAGACATACAATGACATGTAAGAGATGGTATATTGTCAATGAAATAAGACTATGTCATGTAAGAGATCTTGATGTAGTATGAATGATCTAAGACATACAGTGCCATGCAAGAGATCATGGTATAGTATGAATGAACTATGACATTCAGTGTCATATAAGATGGTATAGTTTGTGTATGTGTAAACTGATACATGTCACATGATTGTATACTTTGTGTGTGTGTGTGTAAACTGATACATGTCACATGATTGTATACTTTGTGCGTGTGTAAAACTAAATCTCACATGATTCAATACCCTTTATGTGTGTGAACTGATCCATTTCATATAATTATATATATGTATGTGTGAGTGAACCTGTACATTTCACAGTGTGTGTATGTACGCACGAAGCGGTACATCTCGCAGTGTGTGTGTATGTACGCACGAACGGGAAATTCACGGAGAGAGAGGGTACATCTCATGCGATTCTGTGCTGCGTGTATGAGTGAGACAGTCGGTATATCTTTCTGGTCTGTTTCAGAGAGTTTCGGGAGTTACTGGAGAAATGTGCTGCTACAGCGCTCAGTTCCAAGTTGGTAGCCGGGCACAAGGAATATTTTGCCAAGATGGTGGTTGATGCTGTGCAAATGTTGGATGATTTACTTCCACTCAATATGATCGGCATCAAGAAAGTCCAGGGAGGTAGTTTGGAGGTAAAGCATATAATTACGTTCACTTGGTAGCTACCTTTTTCTTAGCGCTGACTGGCTGTAAACTCTAGCGGTTTCCGCTCTCTCCCTAACTCGGCTTTTGATCCAGGACTTGAGTTTTGTGTGCACATCCTTTTGTTTTTTACAGATGTGGCTTATTTGTGTGCTGACTGTTGGTTGCTGACCTGTGGCTTATTTGTATGCTGACTGTTGGTTCCTGACCTGTGGCTTATTTGTATGCTGACTGTTGGTTCCTGACCTGCCAGGCAGATGCACTTTGACTTTAAAGGAAGCATCCCTAGTTAGTTGCCTCTTACAACATGCAGGTTAGAGGGAAAGTGGGTCATACTTTGTTCTTCAAAATGAGCCCTGAAACTGTGCAAGAAAATATTGTCATTTAATTGAGAAAGAAGTTGCATGTGGCACCTCCAACAGTTTACTACCACGCCTCTGCGATTATCTTTTTTTGCAAACTGTCATAGTGCTTTCTGGTAGACATTATGTATCATGTTATGGATTGTTGGTGACAGAACTGATTGCGCCACAGACTGCCTTTTTTTGTTGTTCATTGGTGCCAGAATTAATTGATATATTGTGTCAGGGATTGCTCAGTTATTGGTAAGAGAACTTATTGCGCCACAGACTGCCTTTTTTTTTTTTGTTCATTGGTGCCAGAATTAATTTATATATTGTGTCAGGGATTGCTCAGTTATTGGTAAGAGAACTGATTGTGCCACAGATTGTGTGTTGGCTGGCCAAATGTGACTGTTGCTGCAGGTGACTTTTAACATGTCTCTCTAGTTGACGTAACAATTTAAAAATAAGACTATTCTTGTGAGTATATCACATCACTCCAATTAACATAAATAAAATTGTCAGTTGTTGTGAATTTCAGGATTCCTTGCTAGTGGCAGGTGTGGCATTTAAGAAGACTTTCAGTTACGCTGGATTTGAAATGCAACCAAAAAAATACAGCAACCCTAAGATAGCTCTGCTGAATGTGGAACTGGAGCTGAAGAGTGAGAAAGAGAATGCAGAAGTCCGTGTAGATACTGTACAGGTGAATTCCACTGTATATGTTGTGTTGTTTGTGGATACTGTACAGGTGAATTCCACTGTATATGTTGTGTTGTTTGTGGATACTGTACAGGTGAATTCCACTGTATATGTTGTGTTGTTTGTGGATACTGTACAGGTGAATTCCACTGTATATGTTGTGTTGTTTGTGGATACTGTACAGGTGAATTCCACTGTATATGTTGTGTTGTTTGTGGATACCCTACAGGTGAATTCCACTGTATATGTTGTGTTTGTGGATACTGTACAGGTGAATTTCACTGTATATGTTGTGTGATTTTTATGGAGGCTGCACAAGTAAATTTCACTCGCACTCTATATAGTTTGTGATGTGTATGGCTAGTTTACAGGTAAATTCCACGCACAATTGTGAAAGATTTAGCAGCCGAACATTTATGTCTTGTGTCACATTTTGCTGATGCTGGTATGTCTCTCTTGGCAGGAATATCAGAACATTGTGGATGCTGAGTGGAAGATTCTGTACGACAAACTGGACAGCATTCACCAGTCAGGAGCCAAAGTTGTCCTCTCCAAGCTGCCAATTGGAGATGTGGCTACTCAGTATTTTGCAGACAGGTGAGCCTGGCTTTGCTTGTGTTTAAATGGTTGTCTGCAGGAAATCTGGGAGCTCCTGCTGCTTGTGTTTGCTTGCACCTAACAAAAACTGACTGAAACATCACTGGTGTGCTACACAGTCTCATGACAGATCCATTGTGTATTTTGTGTGTGGTACGTGCACCTGATGAGATGTGAGACATCATCACTACAGTCTGTAGATAGGCTGACAAGTTAAAACGTCCTGGCACAGTGGACAACCAGCAACAGCAGTGAATCCTAGGGTGTGGCAAAAGCTTTCGATGCCAGATATTCTAGCTCACAAGACACAGGTGAATGGAGTGAGGATTCCACATATTGCTAAACAGATTTGATCTTCAGGAGGTTCATTGTCTTTCTGTTGCCCAACATCAGCTTAGGGTGAAATCTTTCTGTAGGGCTGGGAATTTGACCTCTGACACCATTTACTGTGGAACATCACTGGAGTGACTGCATATCCACTAGTCAGTCTGACACCATTTACTGTGGAACATCACTGAAGTGACTGCAAATCTACTAGTCAGTCTGACACCATTTACTGTGGAACATCACTGAAGTGACTGCATATCCACTAGTCTGTCTGACACCATTTACTGTGGAACATTACTGGAGTGACTACATATCCACTAGTCAGTCTGACACCATTTACTGTGGAACATCACTGGAGTGACTGCAAATCCACTAGTCAGTCTGACACCATTTACTGTGGAACATCACTGAAGTGACTGCATATCCACTAGTCAGTCTGACACCATTTACTGTGGAACATTACTGGAGTGACTGCTTATCCACTAGTCAGTCTGACACCATTTACTGTGGAATATCACTGAAGTGACTGCATATCCACTAGGCAGTCTGACACCATTTACTGTGGAACATCACTGGAGTGACTGCATATCCACTAGTCAGTCTGACACCATTTACTGTGGAACATCACTGAAGTGACTGCAAATCCACTAGTCAGTCTGACACCATTTACTGTGGAACATCACTGGAGTGACTGCATATCCACTAGTCAGTCTGACACCATTTACTGTGGAACATCACTGAAGTGACTGCATATCCACTAGTCAGTCTGACACCATTTACTGTGGAACATTACTGGAGTGACTACATATCCACTAGTCAGTCTGACACCATTTACTGTGGAACATCACTGGAGTGACTGCTTATCCACTAGTCAGTCTGACACCATTTACGGTGGAACATCACTGAAGTGACCTCAAATCCACTAGTCAGTCTGACACCATTTACTGTGGAACATCACTGGAGTGACTGCATATCCACTAGTCAGTCTGACACCATTTACTGTGGAACATCACTGGAGTGACTACATATCCACTAGTCAGTCTGACACCATTTACTGTGAAACATCACTGAAGTGACTGCATATCCACTAGTCAGTCTGACACCATTTACTGTGGAACATCACTGGAGTGACTGCATATCCACTAGTCAGTCTGACACCATTTACTGTGGAACATTACTGGAGTGACTGCATATCCACTAGTCAGTCTGACACCATTTATGGTGAAACATCACTGGAGTGACTGCATATCCACTAGTCAGTCTGACACCATTTACTGTGGAACATCACTGGAGTGACTGCATATCCACTAGTCAGTCTGACACCATTTACTGTGGAACATCACTGGAGTGACTGCATATCCACTAGTCAGTCTGACACCATTTACTGTGGAACATCACTCGAGTGACTGCATATCCACTAGTCAGTCTGACACCATTTACTGTGGAACATCACTGGAGTGACTGCATATCCACTAGTCAGTCTGACACCATTTACGGTGAAACATCACTGGAGTGACTGCATATCCACTAGTCAGTCTGACACCATTTACTGTGGAACATCACTGGAGTGACTGCATATCCACTAGTCAGTCTGACACCATTCTCTGTCTCTTCTCCCCCTCCCTCCAACTCATCTTAGTCTGTCGTATGTTTCTTCCATCTGTATCTTTTTTCTTTCCTTTTTTTCTTCACTCTTCATGAGCCCATCTATCTGCGTGTCCCTCTTCCTGTATTTGTCTCTCCTTCTCTCTTTCGCTATCGTCGCCCCACTCCCTCATCATGTCTTCATCCGTCCCTTTCTTAGTTATCTTTGTTTTCTTCTTCCCCCTGTCTCTCTTTCCCTTCTTTCCCCTTTAATCTGTCCCTATTTCCCCACTCTGTTGTTCACACTATCTCTACCTCACCACCTGTTTTCTCCTCTGACTCTTTCTCCTTAAGGTACCAGGTCTAGGACGAACAGGACTTCAATTTACTCCCCTCTGCCACCAAGTCTAGTGGGTCTATACACGCGTGTGGCCTGTACGTAAATAAATACATTAAATGTTGAAGGGGAATCCGAGCCCCCATGGCTGTGTCTGGGGGGCTATGCTCACCACTCATTGTCAGCCTGTATTTATATTGGGCTGAGTTTCCAACAGATTCCAGCAATTAAGAATATGTGAGACTTCACTGTGCAGCTCAAAGAGATCACACTAGCATTCAGCTCCAGGAAGTGCATGAGATAGCCTAGTACTCTGCTCACAGTCATCTATCTACATACACTACATTATTTTCTGAGCTAGTGGCAACTGAATGACCAAGCATTGTCTGTTAAAGGAGACGGGATGACACATTTCTGTTCAGAATCTAATTTTTAGTTTTAACAACATTGTTTCTTGTTGTTCTGCAGGGACATGTTCTGTGCTGGCAGGGTCCCTGAGGAAGATCTCAAGAGAACCATGAAAGCCTGTGGTGGGTCCATCCAGACATCAGTCCAGAACCTTTCTAGTGATGTCCTGGGATCTTGTGAAAGCTTTGAAGAAAATCAGGTCGGAGGTGAAAGGTACATGCTCACCTATCTAGATACTTTGTTTGGTCTGGGGCTGCAGACTTACTTACTTACTTAGTCGCTCCTCTTCTACCTTGGAATGTAAAGGTTTGCTAAAGAGATCGCTAAACTTCTCTATCCGCAGTTTTTTTTCCTGGCTTTTCTATTCCTGTCCTTTGTCCATCTGGGACTGTCGGATGTTGTCTTCCAGCAGGCCCTGGTGGTCTGGTTCCTTGGTTCTTAGCCTATCATGGTGGCCGAATTTCTCCAATTCTGCATACATATCCAAACCATCATAACTGAGTGATCCACTCAAGTTTGTAAGGTCTGGGTTTCAAGATCTTGGTGTATTGTCTGGTTGCAAACTTTCTTCTTGTCACTTGGACCACCTTGCTCAGGTATCTAATTTCTGAGGACTGAATATGACTTCTGTGGGCTGTTGTCATGACCCATGATTCACACCTGTAGATCAGGACTGGTACATAGGTAGAGTGGTGAAAAGCTAATTTCTTTTTTGCTAAGAAACCCTTTGTTTATGAACTGGACTTCCATTTTCCAGTATGGTGGAGTGTTGTTGTGTTTGTGCTCATGAACTTTGCTTTTTATCCGGTGTATTTCACTTGGACTATATTAAAATATTGGCTCAAAGGCAGCGCAGAAAGATATTTGTGCCAGGCCTGTGTGGCGATTATGCGTTGTGATTTTAATGTGTGTTTGATTTCATGGGGCCCTTACCAACAGCATTGAGGACTTTTGCAGCTGGTTGCATGTGAAAGTGTCGGTCGAGGAAGTACGTGCGTTTGATTTCATGGGGCCCTTACCAACAGCATTGATGACTTTTGCAGCTGGTTGCATGTGAAAGTGTCGGTCGAGGAAGTACGTGCGTTTGATTTCATGGGGCCCTTACCAACAGCATTGATGACTTTTGCAGCTGGTTGCATGTGAAAATGTCGGTCGAGGAAGTACGTGCGTTTGATTTCATGGGCCCCTTACCAACAGCATTGACGACTTTTGCAGCTGGTTGCATGTGAAAATATCGGTGGAGGAAGTACGCGCGTTTGAACTGAGATCCCCTTCACTTGCTTTACAGATATGTAACAGTCATGTACACATTAAAAGGAGAAAGCGCAAAAAAAAACATATCTTGCTGCAATAATAATCAGAAAGTGGAACGTGCTGGGGCCAGAAAATCACTACTTATCGGAAAGGATAGGTAGAAAGAATGTTCAAATTCTTTACTGGAATTGTGCCGGTGTTAAACAATGACAGCCTGTCCTGGACAAATTAGTATTTAGTGCTGACATGGTTGCTCTGTAAGAAACACTCCTAGGTGCACAATGGCGGTACGCTTTTTCGTCCGTTGAGGCGAATGGAGCAAATTAGCTATTTTCGCTCACGTATAATGTGAAAATTTCATCGGAATGGTGTCTGAACCGTGCAGTGGAGTACATGCACGTGAGTTTAGACTTCCCTCAGGGTGTATTCGACGTCCGATGGCGACTATTTACCAATTCAAAACAACCCATAGACGGACAAGGAGAACGCGAACAGGCAAGCACGGTGGCGCCTGCAGGAAGCGACTGAAATGTGAAAGACTCAGTTTAAAGTATGTTCGTGTTCTCTACTGGAACTGCGCTTCGTTCAGTCAACGCCGACCCATTTTTGAGAAGCTCCTCTACAGCAACGGCATTGTTGTCCTACAGGAAACACACCTCAGTGACGAGATCGTTAAAATTGCGGGCTTCCAATCCTTCTACAATAGACGGCACCTAGGACAGCTCATTCTTGTTCGTGACCACATACCGGTGTCTGAGGTGGACATGTCTAAGTAGAATAATGACGACGGAAAGGTTACCCGAATGGCAACACGACAAGGGGATTCTGACAGCGTAATTGACCTGGCCCTAGTGTCTCCCTCCATTGCATCAGGATGCAGGTGGAGCACACTGGGATACCACGACAGTGATCACTTTCCTTGCGTCGTCCTGGTAGAGAAGAGCAACAACAAAGGTCATGTAATCAATGTGCCTGCTTTTATATATGACCGTACAGGGCAAGATGCCATTAGCAAAATCCGACAACGTAAAACAAGAGCAGATCGCAGACGGCGGGAGAGATGGGCCCAGCCACCATGGTGGAATGAAGTAGTCAACATGGCGTGGCTAGAAAAAAGGAAAGCTGTCAAGGCATGGCAAAAGGCAAGGAAAATTGATCCCTCACTTTCTGAACGCCTGATCAGTCTGAAAGATGAGGTCAACAAGCAGACAGTGGCTTTCAAGTTAATTGCGAAGGAAGCTAAGACAGCGAAATGGAACGAATTCTGCAAGAGCGTTTGCTCCGAGGGATCTCTTGTGACATTCTGGCGCCTTCAACAGAGCATGCACGGTGCCGCATGACCAAGGGGTATCCCTGATTTTCAGGGTACAGACCTGATTTGGCAGAGAACTGATGCTGTTAAAGGAAAAACCCTTCTGGCGCGCTACTTGGAGCAAACTGACCAAAAAGACGAAGCTACAAGAATAGGGGTTAAGATGAAATTGTCGATGCTGTGCGAGAACACTGCTAGTCACTGATCTCACAATCACTGCAGATACCTTAAGAACTTGCCTCAAGAAATCGCGCAGCACTGCTCCAGGCCCTGACGGCATCCGATACAACGACATGCTGATGATGTCGAATGCTGATTTGAAAAGCGTGGCAAAGGAATTCAATATCAGCATCCAGAGTGGCCAGATACAAGAGGAATGGCTCCATAGTTATTTGTTCCCACTACCAGAGCCTAATAAAGACCACTCAAAGATCTGCGGCTACAGAATCATCTCGATGCAGAATACTGTTGGCAAACTTTTGGAAAAAATTGTCGCACAAAGATTCACCACCTACTTGGAACTACATGATAAGTTCCCACCAACATTTGGAGGGTACAGGTTAAAAAAAGAGACATGGTTCAATGCTGCAGTTTTCGCCTACGATGTGTACGAGGGATTTCAGATTAAAGAAGAGACATGTGCGGCAGTGTTGGACTTAGAAGATGCCTACAATAAAGTACCATATGATTATTTAATGCAATTACTGCTTAAACTAGAAGTTAATCCTATTCTGATCTGCTGGATTGCTGCGGTCCTGTTCCAGAGAAAGATTGTACTAAGATGTGGCAGCTGGTCCTCAGAACCACAAGCGATATGTCCAGGCTTGCCACAGGGATCACTGCTATCACCAGTCTTATTCAACGTTTATACGGTGATGATCACTGAGCAGCAGTTGAATGGAAAGGGAAGGACTTTGTCATTTGCTGATGACATTTTGATTTATCGACGAGGGCGTTATAGACAGGAGATCGCCAGCACTATGCGCAAAGAACTCGATCGAATTGCCGCCTGGTGTGATGGTTCCAATGCCTATGTCAATCCTTCGAAGGCATCAGTGTCATGGTTCTCTTTGAACAATCACATTATCAAGTCGGACTTACCAGAAGTGAAAATGCGCGATAATGTATTGATCAGAACCAACGTTATGACGTTTCTCGGGGTGAAGTTCGATCGCAGCTTGTCATTCAGGGAACACGTTGACCATGTGATAACAAAAGCACGCAAAGGTCTATCTGCAATGAGGATTATGGCTGCTTCCAATATCGAGCAAAGACTACTAATACTTCTATTCTACGGTCTGGTCCTTTCCCCCATTGAATACGCTCTGGCCATCCTCACTGTCAGTGCTACCCAGATTGAACGACTCGAAAAGGTGCAAAATGAAGCCATGCGCATTATTTTGGGATGTACAAGAGACACATCCTGTGGAGCAATGAGGTATCTACTTGACTTTCCAACAATGAACCAAAGGATCAGGATGTGGAGGGCTCGGGCATATCTCAAAATATGTGCTGATAAGAAACACCCACTGCATCAAGCGCTTTTTAGTGAAAAGGGCGACAGACTGAAGAGGGGGAAATCGTGGCTAGGTCGGGCAGAAGATGTTATTAGGCAAATATGCAGCCTAACCGACATCATACCTGGTGCAGAATGGATACCTGTGCCTCAGGCGTTTATTTGTACATTTTCCTGTATTGTCATACTCAACAGGCGATGTAGAGAAGAGAATCCTGTTGCTGTTAATGCAGAGGTCAAAGCTCTCATCAGTGAAAATTCAGACGAAGCAGATGCAATAATCTATACAGACGGATCCGTTATACGTCAAAGAAGAAGCGCATGGGCATTTACAGCACGCTCAGCGGGCAGAACAGTAAAAGAAGCCAACGGCGCCTTCTCCATGACAACCAGCAGCATGACGATGGAGGTGATGGCAGTGACGCAAGCATTTGCCTGGCTTGAAACACAAAAATACACCCATGTATGTATACTCAGTGATTCAATGAGTATGATTCGGAGGGTTCAGGCAGGTTCAGTGCGAAGACAATGGCTTGAATCATTACAGAAGTCCACTGTGCGTGGAGTCACCTTTATTTTTGTTCCGGGATACGCAGGCGTCGATGGAAATGAAAGAGCTGACAGGTTGGCTGGATCCGCTATCACTACCGACGGTCAGCCTATGGATCATGCTGACATTATCAATGCCCTCAGAGAAATTGGAAGGATAGAGGACTTTGGTGGCAGTGAATCCACATCACTCGCCAGAAGACTTGTTAATCAACATAGAACTGGTACTATTAGCCATCGGACGTTGGGGTTCATACTGAGGGGAGGATCTGAGCACCTATGGACATGTCCGGAGTGCAATGAGGATAACCCAACTAACTAACTAACTAACTAACAAACACTCCTAGGTGACAATACACTAAAACTCACAGGATGTCATACTTTCAGAACAAGCTACACTGGGGACAGATATCACAGCTTAATGAAGTTGACATGTCAAAATAGCAAGATACCAGCCTCCTGTTACAATACGTGGGACGCGGTCTTTTATGCTGGTTAATGTCTACGTATGTAACTTTAAAGTAAGCAGAGATAAGTGGATGTGCCTTCAAGAAATAATGCAGACAGAAGAGAATATAGTTTTCTGTGGCGATTTCAACGCTTAAAGTTAACTATGGTGCAGTAGTTTAACAAACAGACAAAGGGAAGAGTGCCATGGTGGAAATGGACCTAGTCTGCCTAAATGATGGAAGAATCACCAGGATGGCCTATCAACCAGAAGAAGAAGACTGCTTGACTTGGCTTTAATTTCACCTTGCTTATCCACACTGTAGTTGGTATGTACTTGGTACTCATGGCAGCGACCACTGTCCCTGTGTTATTCTTTTAAAAGAGAGGGTCAGCACACATCATAGGATCAATTCAAACCCTTTTTTAATACACATAGGAAAATGTAAGCAAGCTTAGGAAAATCAGAAGCCAACACCGTGTAGGCTGAAGAAAACAGCTGCAACAACCATAGTTGTGGAATGATGAGGTTGAGTCATCTTACTTACTTACTTACTTAGTCACTCCTCTTCTACCTTGGGGTGTAGAGGTTTGCCAGAGAGATCGCCAGACGTCTCTATCAGCAGTTTTAGGTTGAGTCATCTTTGGTACTTAAAAGGCATGCTGTAAAGATTTGGCATAAAGTGACGAAATCCACTTAGTCTACTCCAGACCTACTGCAGGAATGCAGACACACCAAGCGGACCACAACAGCAGTTGCCCAGCAAGCTATGGACACAACTTGGGTGTTAAGAACTGTCATTTTTTGGGGGACGGAACACACGGTATGACGATGAAAAATGAATCTGGTGATACAGGACGACTGTCCATCTAAAGCCCCACCTATACACTATAATATGCTACCAAGGCGGTGTCACAAGAACAGGAACAACAAGCCTTGACTCAACGTGTGTCCACAACATACTCCTTACCTGTCTCGTTTCACTGGTGATCCTACGCCTCCTTGCGTCGTCACCCAAGACAGATTTATCTCCTCAGTTACATGCCCTCACTCCTTGTCACCATAACTGATACATGATAACTGATCAGAAATTCGGCCCCAGGCAACAAGTCTCTCGACACACAGTCGCATCAGAGTTATCACGGGACACTACACAGTTCCGTCCTCGCAATTCTGCCACAAGTCATCGCTTGACTTATGTCAACCTTGTGGTAGATACTACACAGTTCCGTCCTCGCAATTCTGCCACAAGTCATCGCTTGACTTATGTCAGCCTTGTGGTAGATACTACACAGTTCCGTCCTCGCACATATGCCACAAGTCATCGCTTGACTTATGTCAACCTTGTGGTAGATACTACACAGTTCCGTCCTCGCAATTCTGCCACAATTCATCGCTTGACTTATGTCAGCCTTGTGGTAGATACTACACAGTTCCGTCCTCGCACATCTGCCACAATTCATCGCTTGACTTATGTCAACCTTGTGGTAGATACTACACAGTTCTGTCCTCGCACATCTGCCAAAATTCATCGCTTGACTTATGTCAGCCTTGTCACAAATAATATGTTGTACTCTCCACACCTTGTCTCCCAAAATTTGCGCAATGGGAGCATTTCAACTCATACACCAAATTCTAATGCACAGGGTTAATTTACTGAACTAACGTGATACACATAATTACTGCTAAAAATTCAGACAACTGAACATGTGTTTGCATGGTTGGGCTGATTGAGAAAGAGGCACTGAAATCAACACCCACGACCAACCCTTAGATCAGCATTCCGGACCCCACCTGGTTCTGGCTAAGTGTGTGCAAACTACTGTTAGTCATGATTCTCCAGGAATACATCTTCCACCTTAAGGACCTTTGCACTAGTCTCTCACCTCAAGCCACAGACCTCTTTTGCCCACGTCTCTGTTACCATTATCATCCTGTGCCTTACGACTGGCGTAGGCGATCATGCCTCTGACCAGCTCAGTGAATTTAGCACGCAACAGCAATACTCCCTGGTCCCTCCCACCGAACAACACGTATGTTTTTTTTTTGCTCGAGACAATCACTCTATTGCAATGTTCAATGCCACATTTACCTACAGTATCTTAAATATCTAGTTTGATGATAATGAGCAACACAAACAACAAACATTCAGTTAAGATAAACAAATAATTACAACCACATGATTAAGGGGTCACTACAGAAAAATTTCTTTTTTTTTTTACTTACAATGTTCAGACCAATTATTTTATAATGGTCTTTTGTAGGGATGTATGTTGATACATTTGTAGACTTCAAGTTTAAAAAAACATGGTTGCCATGGCAACAGCCACCATCTTGATGAAAAAAAACATGTACTTAGACAGCTAAAATCTCAAAAACAAACAGGTATTGAGAAACAGATGATTGATTCATGAACTTTAAACTTATGTTTAGGGTCAGGTCTAGTTTATTTACTTCAAAGATGTTAAATATTTTTTTTAGAATATTAAAATTTTGGTATGTTAAAAAAATACAAAAATGTAGCTTTTTCATTTAATAATCAAATTTAAAAAATAAATGACTTAATAAACTGTAATTTTAAATAGACCTGACCCTATAATATTGTGTTAGGAGTATCCACACCAAATTTCACGTCTCTAGTCTTTATATTAGCTGAGATTTTAGGAGATCCCACACACAACAAACAGAAAAATAGAATTGTTAGAAAAGTGACTTTAAAAATTTTTTTTACTTAAAAAAGTGCATGGGTTGGTGTCTTTAGTATTAACTTTTCAATGCTAAACTGTTTACCAATGACACAAATTTTGTGTGTAATCTATTCTACGAATGCCGAACGTTACAAAAATAAACACATTGAAAAAGTGATATTTTTGTCATAAATTGGAAACAAATGCCGTGTAGTGACCCCTTAAGACACACTAACAACACAATGAACAAAAGTGTCATTGCACAGAAGTCTGACAGTAGGCACAGTCCAATTGCAACTCTGTCTCAACACTGTAGAAGCTCCAAGTACCCAACACTGTTGACTTCCGCAACTGTCTCAACACTGTAGAAGCTCCAAGTACCCAACACTGTTGACTTCCGCAACTCTGTCTCAACACTGTAGAAGCTCCAAGCACCCAACACTGTTGACTTCCGCAACTCTGTCTCAACACTGTAGAAGCTCCAAGTACCCAACACTGTTGACTTCCGCAACTCTGTCTCAACACTGTAGAAGCTCCAAGTACTCGCATGACAGATCAGGTCAGGTAACTGGAACAGGACGCTCATCTGCTGTCCCTTTTGATGTCCTTGCCATTTATTTTGAGTCTGGGAAGATCAGCTCTAACAGTCCTGTTGTCCAAAGAACACCACAGGACGGTTAACTTTTCTGGGTTGATTACAGCACTGATCTCTGTACACCAATCGATCACCTTATCTGCTGTTGCCTGTAACTCTTCAGCTTTTTTATTCCTATCTCTCCCCCTCCTATATACAAGAATATATCTGCAAATGTCAGTATTCTGCCAACTCCAGGTGTTTCCAGGCACTCAGTCTTGCTCGTAAAAACATTGAATAGTACAAGAAAGATGCTCAAGAATTGTTGAAATCTTTGAGTCCCAAGGAACGCATCATACGTTCATAGGTTCCTACCTAGAAGCACAATGAACGCATGATGCACCGATTTTATTACTCTCTTTACTACCCCCTGGGCCTGTGATGCTAAACCCCCTGGGACTCAAAGAGTTAAGTAACTGTTACCAGGAACACTGAGGGCTACAGACATGTCTGCTAAAGTTGGTTTGTGTTTGAGAAAGAGAAGTCGAGGCAAAGTTTGGATGTGCAAAGTCTACTTAGCCAATTTAGATATTGTAGGTGTGTGTGTGTGATGATTGTCAGTATGTTGTTTGTGGTCACATTTGTTTGTGTTTATAGATGTTAACTATTGAGTACTTCATCCTTGCCATGTGTTCTCTAGCCTCATTTTGGGGAACAAGAATAGACCCCCTAATAAGCAAAACAAAAGTCGACTGATTATGGTGATTCCCTTGAAATTAGATTGCCTCTGCCATGAGAGGTGAGGAACCAACAGTCTGCATACAAATAAGCCAGACCTATGCAAGAAATATGCATGAAGACCTCGAGTTATATAACGAAAGTGTAAAGTCTAGAAGTGGAAGAATAACCAGAACTTTCCACCGGAGTTTACAGCTGGTAAATGCTTAAAAGAAAAAATTTGCCTAATTGAAAATGTTGTGTATTGTGCTGCAATCATTTGTTCATCACAATGATTGATCAGTGTTATCATGATTGTAGGTACAACTTTTTCAAGGGCTGCCCACAGGCCAAGACTTGTACAATCATCATTCGAGGAGGAGCTGAGCAGTTCATGGAGGAGACTCATAGATCACTCCATGACGCCATTATGATTGTCCGCAGAGCTAAGAAAAACGATTCTGTGGTTGCAGGTAAGGCAGATGTTGTTGACTTTGTTCATGGCTTGTAGGCTTTATATTGGAGGTTCACATTTTTTAGCAGATGCATACCTGCTGGCACCAACTCTCAGCTCCACATTCACCTTTTAGCACCACAAAGTACAGGGGGACAGCCACCTGATGTTAGCATCATTGATTCTAGGATTATCGGCTTGACGTTAGCATCATTGATTCTAGGATTATCGGCTTGACATTAGCATTATAAACTGTATGGGAAAAATTTGTCTGGTAGCACCATAAAATACCAGGGGTCAACCACCTGGTCCTAACACTATAAACTGTAGTGCACCTTTTTGATGTTAGCGGCGTAAACTATAGAAGCACATCTCTCTGGTGTTGGCACCATAAACTATAGAATTACACCTGTCTGGTTTTGGCACCATAAACTATAGCACACCTGTGTTAGCACAATGAACTGTAGGACACCTGTGTGTCTGATGTTATCACCATTAACTGTATGCTTTGTTAACACAATTGTTTTTGAAGGGGTAAGAGATTCTGTTGTAGAGGGTTCGGTGGTTGCCATACATTAGGGTATTGTATCCAATCTTGGTACAGCAGAAAGGAATCTAGATGTGAATACTAAAACAGAAGCTATGCTGAACTGTATACTAACTAGTGCGGTGCCATAGCGCAGAGGTTAGTGAATGGGGTTAACAGTTTCATGATCCTCCATTACTAGGAAATTATTGTTTTTGTGGTTTATGGACTGTGGAAGAGATTAAACTCTCAGCACGTAATGTGCCCAATACAACAGTGGTAGACTATCCAGCCTTCAGTGGGGAGACAACACAGTTTGTTTAAACACCAGCTTAAACAGACTTGATACTCCCCATCAGAATCGTTGTCTAACCTACTGACTACCAAGCCCATTTACCTTTGTAGACCTTTAAGACTTGAAAAAAAAAAAATGTAATCTTGTTGTACATCATCACGATGTCTCTGAAGATTTGTGCAAAAAAAAATGTCACCAATTTTGTTTTCTCTGACAGTAAAATAAACTGACAGAAAGGCCATAGCTTCACACCTGTCTAACATCAGATAATAATAATTTCAATTTTTGTACCAATATCATATTAAACATATGACTGTTCTCACTGCCACACCCCCCCCCCCCCACTCCATGTCCTAAATCACTTCTCTCACACCATCTCTTTCCTTTGATCATCCTCTCTTCTACCCCTCTCTTCTACTTTATCTCTCCATCCTTCCTCTTTTCCTTTTCTTACTCTGTTCTCTCTTGCTCTCCCTCCTGTCCCGTCTCCTCTCCATCCTGTCTCAATTTCTGTAGATTTCCCTACCCGCTCTTCTATTCTCCCCCCCCCCCCCTCCCAATTTTTTTCTGGTTCTTCTGCGTTTGCTGTGCTGCCCCATAACCGTCTTTTTCTATTGGTTGTGTCCAGTACACTTGAAATTGTGTTCTGGTTGGGGGAGTGGGTGAGGTTTTAGCATGTGGCTGGTGGTTGTTTCTTTGATGTGTTATATGGCATATTTTTTTGGTCTGCTTTCCTGTTCCTCTCTTTTTATCTTTGTTTGTCTGACAATGTCACTGCCTTCCTCCCCCATCTCTCTCTTCCTCTGTCTTGCTTTTTGTCTGCCTCCCTTCACTTCCTCTTTGTTGTTTACCTACCTCCCATTCTCCTACTCTGCGCTTCCTTCTCTCTTCATCTGCCCATCTCTGTATCTACATTCTCCCTTTCTGTATTTGTCTCCCTCTGTCTTTTGCTGTCCCTTCCCCACTTTCCCTCATCCTGTCTACATCCATCCCTCTCGTCATCTTTTTGCCGCCTTCCCCCACATCTCTTTCCCTTCTTTCCTCTACCTTCATCTATCTATCTTTACACTGTCTCTACCTCATCATATATCTTCCTACCTCTCAGTATGACTCTCTCCCTCCCCTGACTCCCCCCCCCCCCTTTTTTTTCCAGGTACCAGGTCCAGAATAGACGGGACTTCACTTTGCTCCCCTCTACCACCAAGTCTTTAAAAAAAATGGCTCTCCTGTAAACTTTGGCCGGTAGACAACAGTTGACGGCCGGTTAGCCGGAGTTCTGTCCCCTGGCTGCAGTGCAATTACGGACTGGAGAATGCACGAATCAAAAAACAAAGTGAGGTCGAAATGCCTGGCAGAACCCGCGCTGCGACTCAAGTTAGCGACCGCGTTCAATTGCCGCTTCTTGCGACGCATTACGGAGTGGATTAGAGGGAAGGATACAAGTGACATAATTACTGTGTGTTGGCGATAGACAGCATGCAGTGCCCTACTGTCATCATACGGTTAGGGTTAGGGTTTGGGTTGCTACGTTGAGTTTCTGGGAATACGAGATGCGGCGACACTAACCGCAACGCTAACAATAACCCAAACTCTAACCCTAACCCAAACTCTAACCCTAACCCAAACCGTAACCGTATGATTATAGCAGGGCAGTGCACGCTGTCTATCGCCAACACACAGTAATTGTGTCAATTGTTTTGTTCCCTCCTTTTCCACTCTGTAATTGCACTGTAGCCAAGGGACAGAACTCCGACTAACTGGCCGTCTACTGTTGTCTACCGGCCGTAGTTGACAGGAGAGCCAAAAAATTTAAAACACTATATCAAGCGCTAAGGCGGATTGGACAAAAATAATAACAAGGCATGGTACTAAGGAGGAGGGGCAGGGGCGGACTAACACGAAGATGGGTACAGGATATAAGTGACTCTTTGAGTATTAAAATATACGAGGTGTGAGACCTGGAGAGAGACCGAGTTTCTTTCAGGCAAACCAGGATAAGAGCGACAAAGGACCTGCTACATGATGATGATATCTGTGCTTGTATACCCACATGTGTGGCACAAATGAAGTACATTGTGTGCTCGGTACACCCTTGAACAAGCCAAAAATCTTGTTTCAGTATTCCCCTGAGACAACCTTGACTAAACTAGGGAGACCTTGAATAGCCTTGAAATTGTTAAATTTGGCTATGAACCCTCATATACAATACTAGACAAGTAGCTGTTTAAGCCTGAGATCTTGTGACCCACAGGTGGTGGTGCTATAGAGATGGAGTTGTCCAGTTATCTCAGAGAACAGTCGAGGACAATCCAGGGTAAAGAGCAGCTTCTCATTGCAGCATATGCTAAAGCTCTGGAAGTGATCCCCAGACAGCTGTGTGACAATGCTGGCTTTGATGCCACCAACATTCTCAATAAACTCCGACAGAAGCATGCTACAGGTAAGTGATGTCAAACAGCTGCCTCTTTCATGCTGTGCTATTACTATCATCATTATTATTCAGCTTTGATGTCTGCATACTGACTGGTTTCCTTGATTTCTTCACATATTTATATTTGATTTCTTCACATAGCCTCACTTTTCCTTGATTTCTTCACATAGCCTCACTTTTCCTTGATTTCTTCACATATTTATATTTGATTTCTTCACATAGACTCACTTTTCCTTGATTTCTTCACATAGCCTCACTTTTCCTTGATTTCTTCACATATTTATATTTGATTTCTTCACATAGCCTCACATTTCCTTGATTTCTTCACATAGCCTCACATTTCCTTGATTTCTTCACATAGCCTCACTTTTCCTTGATTTCTTCACATATTTATATTTGATTTCTTCACATAGCCTCACATTTCCTTGATTTCTTCACATAGCCTCACATTTCCTTGATTTCTTCACAAAGACTCATAGTTCCTTGACTTCTTCACATAGCCTCACTTTTCCTTGATTTCTTCACATATTTATATTTGATTTCTTCACATAGCCTCACATTTCCTTGATTTCTTCACATAGCCTCACATTTCCTTGATTTCTTCACAAAGACTCATAGTTCCTTGACTTCTTCACATATTTATATTCGATTTCTTCACATAGACTCATGTTTGATTTCTTCACATAGCTTATATTTGATTCCTTCACACATACATATTTCCTTGATTTCACCACGTCAAGGAACATACTCACATTTCCTTGATATCTTCACGTTACTCATATTCGATTTTGTCCACGTAGACTCAAATTTCCTTGATTTCTTCACATACATTTCCATGATTTCTTCACATAGACTCATAATTTCTTGATTTCTTCACAGACTCAAATTTCCTTGATTTCTTCACATAGACTTAAAGTTCCTTGATTTCTTCACATAGACTTATAGTTCCTTGATTTCTTCACATAGACTTATAGTTCCTTGATTTCTTCACATAGACTTAAAGTTCCTTGATTTCTTCACATAGACTTAAAGTTCCTTAATTTCTTTGCAAAGACTTATAGTTCCCTGATTCCTCCACATAGACTTATAGTTCCTTGATTTCTTCACATAGACTTATAGTTCCTTGATTTCTTCACATAGACTTATAGTTCCTTGATTTCTTCACATAGACTTATAGTTCCTTGATTTCTTTACATAGACTTAAAGTTCCTTGATTTCTTTACATAGACTTAAAGTTCCTTGATTTCTTTACATAGAATCATAGTTCCTTGATTTCTTTACATAGAATCATAGTTACTTGATTTCTTCACGTAGACTTAAAGTTCCTTGATTTCTTCACATAGACTTATAGTTCCTTGATTTCTTCACATAGACTTATAGTTCCTTGATTTCTTCACATAGACTTATAGTTCCTTGATTTCTTCACATAGACTTATAGTTCCTTGATTTCTTCACATAGACTTATAGTTCCTTGATTTCTTCACATAGACTTATAGTTACTTGATTTCTTCACATAGACTTATAGTTCCTTGATTTCTTCACATAGACTTATAGTTCCTTGATTTCTTTACATACTCACATGTCCTCGATTTCTTCACACAGACTTATAGTTCCTTGATTTCTTCACACATACTCACATTTCCTTGATTTCTTAACACAGACTTATAGTTCCTTGATTTCTTCACACATACTCACATTTCCTTGATTTCTTCACACATACTCACATTTCCTTGATTTCTTCACACATACTCACATTTCCTTGATTTCTTCCCAAGAAATAGATGTGCCTAAGTCGGCCAAGTGAATGAATATAGTTCGTATCTCTCTTCAATCGTACTCAAGAACAAGGCCAGTGATGTAACAATTACACAAGAGCTGTTTATTTACAATATTCCAGTCATAGAGGCTTCATAAATTCAATAGTATATGAACACTGTATTATCTGGATACAGGCTATTCGTATGACTCTCTACGAGTTCCTTAACCACTGTTCTAGCTAAACTCCAAGTTTAACATATACCTTCTAAACGAAGTAAATCACTAGTTTTCTCCTAACCGGTCTTTCCAGCGGTTCAGCCCTAACCTGTCCTATCAAGCGGTTCCGTGGCTAACTGTCCTCTCCAGCGGTTCCGGGACTAACTGTCCTCTCCCGCGGTTCCGGGACTAACTCTTCTCTCCAGCGGTTCCGGGACTCACTTTATTCTCAAGCCTTCCCGCTCTTTTTGGCGTACCTTCTCCATCACTTCTCTGTCACCTGTCTTTGGTGGTCACGTCTGGATGAACGTATCTCATCCGCTGGTCACAGTTTACGGGCACTCGTCGAATGTTTCATCCCTCACTGTCAGATGTCATGGCGGTGTGTTCTGCATAGCTGGCTAGGCCATGGCTTTCTAATCACCTATTTCTGTCATTTCACACAGTGATGGATTAGTACGCCGTGTGGTGGTCTGAAATGTATGCTTGTTCATTTAACCCCTTTCTTGCCTATATTTCGTTACAGACTCACATTTCCTTGATTACTTCACAGACTCATTGTTCCTTGATTTCTCCACATACTCACATTTTCTGGATTTCTTCACATAGACTCACATTTTCTTGATTTCTTCACATAGACTCACATTTCCTTGATTTCTTCACAGACTCATTGTTCCTTGATTTCTCCACATAGACTCATATTTCCTTGATTTCTTCACAGACTCATTGTTCCTTGATTTCTCCACATAGACTCACATTTTCTTGATTTCTCCACATAGACTCACATTTAATTGATTTCTCCACATAGACTCACATTTTATTGATTTCTTCACATAGACTCATAGTTCCTTGATTTCTCCACATAGACTCACATTTTATTGATTTCTTCACATAGACTCATAGTTCCTTGATTTCTTCACATAGACTCACATTTCCTTGATTTCTCCACATGTATCCTCTTGCAGGTTCCAGATGGGCAGGTGTCAATATTCTCCAGGAGGATGTCTCTGACAACTTTGAAGCCTTTGTGTGGGAACCTGCCGTGGTAAAGATCAACGCCCTGACTGCTGCCACAGAGGCCACCTGCCTGATTCTGTCTGTGGACGAGACCATCAGAAACCCCCGCTCAGGCCAGGGAGAGCCAGCAGGCAGGGGCCGCGGCCGACCCATGTAGTGTCTGTCTGTCTGCTCATTGTTGTCTGGTGACATTGACCACTGACTCATCATAGAGAGATGAAGTGTGTCCACATCTATCACAGAGCTTTGTCAACTCTTTATCAGACATTTCAGTATGTTTACATAACGCAGATATACAGCAACATATGATCTGTCATGCTCATCAGGGGCACACTACAGTAACAGCTACATAGGTTTGGAACAAATCCATCTTTTTAATGAAATGACAAGCCATTGCTGTAATATATTTGTCATTTTGACCAGGATCAGTGCAAGCTCACAACCTTGCCATAGAAGTTTCTTTTCTGTCCATCATTCTGTTTCTGCAGTATGTATTTGGCGAGACACAGAGAACTATGCCAGACGATAAGTTGTACAACCTGTTGTTTTTTGTTTGAATTAGAAACTTGGACATACTTTGCTTTCTGTTAGTGTTTTTTGAGTTGTTGTCTTTGTCTTGGCTCGATTGTGAACATTAAATCATTACCATTCAACTGTGAGCGCTGTCAGTGTTGATTTCACGTGTGTAAACAGACTTCAGTCTTATCCTATTCTTGTCTGAATCTTTGCTCGAATGTGAATGCTGAGTGATTACAATTTAGATGTGAGCATTACCACTCGGGTGTGAACGCTGTAAACAGTCTTGTCTCATCACATTGTAGTCTCTATCTTTGCTTGAATGAGAACATTGAGTGATTACCATTCGGCTGTGACCGCTCTGTGTTGATTTCGGGTGGGTAAATAGACTTTTTAGCTATCCTCCAAATAACGGGCACATATTATGGCAGCCAAAAACAAGGCCTCAATCACATGTAAATTGCGAACTCCTGGCAACTTAATTTTGCGCACATCCGGCGACTACCGCCACCGCTGAGAGAATCCCGAGATTGGGGTTAAACTAGATGGCTGGGACTCAACAAGCAAAGCTGCAGGAGATGCGGAAGCTGCTGCTCGAGTCCCAGCCATCTAGTTTAGCTCCAATCCATGTGACGTGGGGGATACTCTCGGCGGTGGCGGTAGTCGCCGGATGTTCGCAAATTAAGTCGCCGGAAGTGCGCAATTGACACGTGACTGAGGCTCTGTTAGGGTGTTTTTGCGGCCGCCATAATATATGTCCGTTATTCGGAGGATAGCCTACTTTTTATCCCACTGTTGCACTAAACTGCTGGAGCCAGTAGTTGCTTGTCATGCGGTTGGTACGTCACAGAACTATCAAGTGACATTGGGCACATTCTTTCGAGGCACAAGTGATGAGGCACCTACCACTTTTCTAGGCTGCACACAGGGGACACACTTGTAGCATATGCTTGTATCTGTTAGCATTTGCTTGTCCAGTCAGTTGACATTACATTTATTTACTTCAGTTCCTCTTTTTACAATAAAAGTTTGTAATAATTTGCCTTTTTTTCTACCTTATTTTAAAATGTGCAACTTGTTTTATCTGTTAGTTGTTAAACAGTTCCAGTAGTGTACTTGTGAAATGTTGAATGCTTGTTATTGTTCATACAAAAGTTCAATTAGGATTACCTAAGAAAAAAAACGCGTAACATGAAACAGAGTGAATGCAAATAGTTGTTTTGGCAGCAGTGAAAAGCTCTGACGCTGTCAAGTCTTCTATGCTTCCCAAGTTCCATCGAGCATGCAGCAAGGGACATGAGTGATAAGATAGTATAATTTCACGGCCAGTGATTCAACAAGTCATATAATTAAGATTGTTTATTATAAAGAGACATTGTCAGATCAGGAACAGCAATTTCATTCAAACAGGGGTGACGAGCGCTTCATTATAAGATATTGAATACGTATAATTCACACATGTACTAACATGTTAATTGCTGTTTATTGAATGTATAAATTCTCTTCTAACACAAAGCCCAAATAACTTTCTTCTATCGAAGTTTATGCTGTGTTGTTTTTTAGGTATACTTCAGTTACCCCTCAAAGGCTTATTTACTTTCATTAAAATTGCCTGGTCATTCAGTATACAAGTTCTATCTTGAAGCCCACAGTTCTTTTGCTGAACACACTGTGCAGTGTCCCTTTCTTGTGGCCTTCATTTCTCTTATCATGAAGGAAAGATTAATATGCCTCTCCTGTCTACTTCAAGGGGAGCTTCCTCTGTGAGAGTGCATTCAAGCTGTTTGTATCCGTTTTGATTCAGACTGCCCGGTGGTGTGTGCTCATTAGGTTTTAAGTCCAGTTCACATGTTGACTACTTCCGAGCATTTAGTGCTACCATAACTAATTGAGCGAATTATCAACGCAGCCCCATCACCTACTCCGTTCTCAAGAACAACATGGACAGATAAGCAGATGTATATTTAAAAAACAAAAACATTCATGTCAACTGTACGCTGAACTTTCACTTCACATAAAGTAGCACAGAATAGTCATCTTCTTTTGCATTCTGAGCCCTTGAGGTTTAGTGTTGCAGATATCACTCTTCTCCATTCATCTCTCTGGCTGGCCTTATCTTCACAATTTGTGACACCAGTTGTTTGCAGGTCTGGCTGGACATTATCTCTTGAACTTCTTTCTTGTCTGCCTCGTGGTCTACGCCCATTCCTCTCTCAGGTGTATACAGTTTTTACTTCTCTGTCATCTAACGTTCTTTCAATATGCCCCAACCATTTTAGTCTGTCAGCTCTCATAATGCAGTGATTAATGGTGATTTAAACAGATTATATGTTAACGTTGTTGCTTCTCACTCTCCATTCCCCGCTGTTAGCATCTTTGATGGGTCCAAAGATTTGTCGTAAGACTGTTTTCGAAAACCTGTAATAAGGCCTCATCTCTTTTTATTTCTGCTTCAAGTTTCAGAGCCATTTAAACGACTGGTCTTATCGTTTTATATATCTTGATCTTGGTGTTGCGAGACAGACACTTTGACTTGAGCAGATGTTGAAGGGCATAGAATACTTTATTTCTAGATTGTATTCTAGATTGTATTTCTTCTCTCAGCATGTTGCAGCAGTTGAAGTTTGCACCCAAGTATGTTTCCGTTCGTTTGATTTTCATATTATCGACTTGGATGTGGCCGGAGTTTATATTCTTTCCATATCTAGTTATTTGTACAGAATAGTATTTTTTGCATCCTTCAGTCAGTTTGTGGTAACTAATAACTAGGAATGAAAGAATACTAAGTATTATAACAAGTAACTAAACTTGGAAATTGTCACTGACAGCTTAGTTAATGCAGGAAAGCTGCATTAGCTTTCAACAAAACCAAATGTTCATGTTTGGCAGCATTAAGGTGGTGTATGCAGAGCGGGTGTAAGGTAAGTAATATTCGTATTCAGCCCGACCGCAACTATTCGGCAGAATAGTCAATAGGTGCACTATTCGGCCCTGAAGCGAATATTCGGTACAGCCCTAATAAAAACACCATAAGCAGATGTGTGTTTTTTAGGATAACAAGAACACTATGATAGATGAGAAGAGATTTTTAATACAATGAAAAGAACACCATTTTAGATAAGTAGAATTTGTTTTTATTAGGATGGCAAGAACATCAACAAATAAGCAGGTGTATGCTTAATAGGATGACAAGAACATCAACAAATAAGCAGGTGTATGCTTAATAGGATGACAAGAACATCAACAAATAAGCAGGTGTATGCTTAATAGGATGACAAGAACATCAACAAATAAGCAGGTGTATGCTTAATAGGATGACAAGGACATCAACAAATAAGCAGGTGTATGCTTTATAGGATGACAAGAACATCAACAAATAAGCAGGTGTATGCTTTATAGGATGACAAGAACATCAACAAATAAGCAGGTGTATGCTTAATAGGATGACAAGAACATCAACAAATAAGCAGGTGTATGCTTTATAGGATGACAAGAACATCAACAAATAAGCAGGTGTATGGATGACAAGAACATTTTATAGGATGACAAGAACATCAACATCAAGCAGGTGTATGCTTAATAGGATAAGCAGGTGTATGTTTTATAGGATGACAAGAACATCAACAAATAAGCAGGTGCATGCTTTATAGGATGACAAGAACATCAACAAATAAGCAGGTGTATGCTTTATAGGATGACAAAAACATCAACAAATAAACAGGTGTATGCTTTTTAGGATGACAAGAACACCGTGACCGATAAGCAGGTGTTGGTTTTTATAAGATGTTTAAGAAATTTAAAGCAATGTTTCCCCGTTGTAAATTTGAACAAAGAAGACACAAACAATAAATTGCACAATTTATTGCCTGGCATATTTTGCTGTAGCTCGTCAGGTGCATACTACAGTAACAATTACATAAATGAAGCAAATAAGTGAATCCTTTATAACTGAAGTAGAATTTCAGCAATGACCAAAAATGAATGCCAATTTTTACCTGGGCAGCCGTAAAGAAAGAACCATCTCTTTCTGAATACTGATTCCAATTCCTTTTCAGAAAAAAAATATTAAAAGGTCAACACTTTCAGACTGCTGCTAGCTAGCTGAGGCTGCTAACAGTCTCCGCCTATATTTGTGGGCTGGGTTATTAGGGTCACCTTCGTGACTAAATTCTAGTATTTGCGTTATTTCTGGGCTTGATGCTTCCTTTCGATTCAGACCGCTCGTCCTCTACCATGTTGTTAGCTGTGCATGTCTTTCCTCTTCCTGGTGTTTCCTCTTGGTTTCATCTCCCTCTGATTTGGCCAGGCGTATTTCGTTGGAGAGCGCGCTTTTCTACATAATGTCCGTTAAAGCACCATTTATAGTTTTACAATTTTGAGTATTTTATTTTGCCAAAACGTACTGAAAACAGTTTTTGATTTTGGATAGTTCCGAAATGTGAAAATATTCCGAGTGTGACCAGAGTGGTCCTATAGTTGCCTTCCTGCAATAAGAAGGGTTAGTCATGTCGTGGATATGTGTGTGAAATGTTATATGGAGCCCCAAAGCGTGTCTATTTGTCATTTGTTAGTGTGTGATCTGGTTGTGTCGGTTTGGGATGGCAGCTAGGCTCCGGTGTACGTAAATACCATATACCCGGA